AATGTTTTTGTGCATTTGATGCACATACAATGAACTTAAGAAAAACTAACATCTGAACAAAGACCACCGAGGCTTGCCCAGACATGTCAGGAGAAAATACGTCACTCACCAGAAAATCCACTGGAGAGCTCTAAATGATCGATCATGCAATTACAAGACAACGTTTACTCGCATTCAAAACGTAAGAAAACTACTCTTAAACCGAGGAAATAAAACAGGATTACATTTTAATGTTTATTCTCAGGTAAAAAAAACTAAAAAACATGCATTTTAACACCATCACCGGCAGTAAAGACATAGAGAATGCGAAAACGCGCACAAACCCAAATTGGCGTAAAGCTTTAGAAAAATCCCCCCAAAAGGCCCTGTCACACACCTGTTTGTTTCGGCAGGACTCAGACACCGGACTGGCCACCCTCGCACAGCTGTTTGAAATGACAGCTCTATTTGCGCCCGATGCGGCGATGCCGCAGCCAATGGGATGAGCCGCATTTTCAGGGACGACTTTGGAGTGTGTTGGGTTCAAGTCACGACCCACACTCAATGCCGCTGGGCAAAACTCCGTGCGGGAACGTGCGAGAGGCTGGGAATGACAGTTCCGCCCATCACCGGAACATCTCGGATGACAAAGCAAGCAAACCCACAGTTTAGTTACACTCAGTTTGTTGGTTAGCGTTGATGCTCCGGATGCTATCGACGTGCAAGACAGTTAAGTTAAACTAGAGTTGGTGTTTGCAAAAATATCGGACAACAGCAGATCTGAGAAAAAAAATTCAGGTGAATAAACATCCTTTTGGCCAGAGTTAATCGATGTTTTTGTACACAGTCGCCTACCTTCGCGTTTTAGTCACTCCGGGTTACTTTATGGTTGTCCAGTCAATAAGAAACACGTGCATTGTATTTCTAGTCTAATCTGCCCTGGATTATTTTTTTGCCAACCTCCAGAAAGATGCAGTAGCAGCACCAATCTTGCACAGTTAGGTTTTCCATCGAATACTGTAAATATTCCACCGGCACAACTTTAATCAGCTGTACGTGCACTTGTGATAAGGTTTTAGATCACAGCTGTGCAGCATCGCCCATCTAGCGCGAGACATGCTAGCACGTAATTAGCAAAGGTTTAGCCGTCAACTAGCCGTTGAGCTAACGGGACGAACCATGGAGGACTCTGGTATAAAGAAGCAGAATTGGGACGTAAAGGAGACGGAATTGTTCCTTGAAATCCTAAAAGAGCTGGACATGAAGAAGTGCTTGGACGGGAGGAAAGTGAGGAATAACAAGCTGTTCAAGGTGGCTCACAGGAGAATGACAGCGGCCGGTTATCACAGATCTGTAGACCAGTTAAAGTTCCGGTGGAAACTTCTAAAAAGTGCGTATTACAAGTGCAAGCGGGAGCCCCACTCTCCGGCCCAGACCAAAATACAGGGCTGGTGGCGTTATGAGAAAACTATGATCGCGATCATGGAGTCTAGACACCCGCTGGTCGGTGCTGTGGTCAGCTCCGACAGAAACGATGAGCACACAGAGGACTCTGACGGGGAGGCATCGATGCTGCCCTGGCCGCAGCGCTGTTCGGACACTACCACTCACAACCTGGATGTAATTGTAGGGGTGAACATCTTGCAGTCAATTTAGTCTGGGCTTTATGTTTCTGTGTCCCCATGCGTTTATTAGCTACACTTTATTTAAAAAAACAAACAAATATAGCCAAATCCAACAGACAAGCAGAAAGTCTTGCTTTTACAGAGATGGCTTTTAAATCAGAGGTAACTGGATGGATCTGCTCATTGTGAAGTAAACTTTTTTGCTATGAAACAATTATAACAATTATATGGCCACACAATAACAGACAACACCACTTATAGTCTATCAAGATGGACAAAAGGACACATGCACAGTTTTTGGTTTATTAGACTCAAAATTAGGTTGAGGATACAGCTGCATGACAACAGCAGCCAGAGGGAGGAAAATGGGCCGAGGGGATGTTAGGCTGTCTATATGTTTTAGTATCCTACAAACAAGACCTCATTAGATTAAGTATTCAGTGCAGGAGAGGTGTCTGTTTTCAAGTTATTTCCATTAGGAAATGTATAAAAATATAATGTGTGTGATCTCACATATATATCTTTAATGTCCCATTTATCTTTCTTTTAAAGGATTAAAAACTGGCCAGATAATCTCAGGTTCACACAGTTCCAAGTGAAATATGAAATCTGGCAGAAAAATGGAAAAATAATTCTCTTTTTATATAGATTATCTTGATGATAATTATACCAATCTGAGCGTTATTTTAGTGTTGAGTCATGGGCTCTGTGAGTTAAGTTACCTGTAGAAAAAGTCCAGATTTTGTGTTAATGCTCCTTTAATAACTCTGCTTTCCTCCCAGATCAAAATGGACCCCGAGATGGACTCGCAGCTGAGGATCGGCTTCATTGGTGCAGGGAACATGGCATTCGGCATCGCGAAAGGCATATTATCCGGTAAGGGCAGGAAGTTGATATAATGTCAGCCTAGTGATGGATCCAGGGAGTTCTCAGTACGCTTTTTTTTTTTACGTTTTAGGAAACGTCCTGTCTGTAAACCTGAAAGTGAGTGCTCCGTCCTCCAGAAATCTAGCTCGCTTTCAGGTACGGCTCTTATTTTCTTTTGCTCTTCCTGTAGTGCTTTTAGTCATTTAGACCTGCGGATGAGAAGAGTCTTAAAACAATATTAATCATCTCATGAGTGAAAGATACATTTCTTGAGCAACATTTTTTTTCATCTGGATGGTGTACTATCAAATGGAAAACAAATACACCCACTTTTAGGTTTTTGCATGAAATAAACCAATTAAATTGTCCTTATGAGTGTAAAAATTAGGCAAATATAATCTCAGATTAACATGGACATGATTCGGCTCTGTCAGTATTTAGTGAGTTGATCCCTTATGGAAATGGCCTTTCACACTGATGGGCAGCAGAAGCTGCTTCTCTCAGATCATTGCTGATGTCTTTCCTCCTTGGCATTGTGTTGACACACACCTGGATGTTGGACAGCAGCAAACTGGGCAACGCTCTGCTTCCACAGAGCTGCTCGCCTCACAAAGATCAGCAGCACCTGGCTGCAGGGTCCACTCCTGAAGGACGCAGATCTAGATGTAGATATAAACAATGCATACCAAGACCATTTCAAGTTGTTTTCAGGATTGAAATAGTCGACTTGTTTCTTCATGCCTGTGTCATTTCTGTTCTTCATTGAGTATGTAGTTGGTGATGTTTGCTTCTGCTTTTAGGAGCTTGGCATAGCTGTGACTCACTCCAACGTAGAGGTGGTGTGTGGGTCAGACGTGGTCTTTGTGGCGGTCAAACCTCACCTGGTTCCCCTGGTGGTGTCGGAGATCTCGCAGCACGTCACAGACAGACACACGGTGGTGTCGGTGGCAGCGGGAGTCACGCTGGCCACGCTGGAGGAGGTGCGTGCCGCCTGGCCTCTATGGCCTTCAGGCCAGACCTTCGTCTTCAGTGGCGCTGACTTCTCCTGCGTTTGATTCTCTAGCTGCTCCCTGCGCGATCGGCCGTGATCCGGCTGATGCCAAACCTGCCGTGTGTGGTTCAGGAGGGGGCCCTGCTCTTCGCGCGGGGGGCCCACGCCAAGCAGGAGGACGGCGCGCTCCTCCGCTCCCTGCTGCAGCACTGTGGGCTGGTGGAGGAGGGGCCTGAGGCCTGGATCGACATCCACACCGGCCTGAGTGGGAGCGGAGTGGCTTTTGTGAGTTTCCAGAGCTTGTGTGGTGCGTTCTGTTTTTGCTGGCAGGCTTCTTTTTTTTAAAGAAATGTAGAATTTATTAGAATAAAGCAAAAAGTTCCTGAGGACCGAGGAACAAAATTCACATAACGCTCCATCGTTAAAGGATCTGACATGAACTTAGTTTACATGATTGATTAATGTAGATGTTTTTGTATTTTCTTTAAAAACATTTTGTCTTTGGAGCCTGTACGGAAGGACAACACTTGACGACACCAGTAATAAAAACAGAAAGATTGTTTGTAAAACACCTGAAATATAAGTATGCATGTTTTAAATCTGTGCATACATCAGATATTTAAAAAAAAGATTAATGTACTTATTTTCTCTAACTGGGGTTGGATGGATGATGTTGTTTGGAAATTTCAATTTCTGAGACATTGAAGGGAAAAATAAGTTCATACATTGTGTATAATCAACTGTATAAGAACATCCTTCCTGAATGGCTTTCCAGAATTTAAACAATAACTCATCAGCTATAATTTTGGTAAAAGATATTAACAGAAAATGGCACGATATGCTGGAAAAAAAGAAGCTCCAGAGGATGCTTTTTCCTCAGTATTGTGAAGTCCTTTTCAGGTGAGCTCCATCAGGCTGGGCCTGTGTGTCTCTGATGATGTCATTCCTCTGTGCAGGTGTACCTTTTTGCAGAAGCACTGGCTGAGGGGGCAGTTAAGATGGGCATGCCCAGTGCTCTGGCCCACAGGATCGCATCCCAGACCGTCCTGGTCAGTTTTACCACAGGCTCGCACGTTAAAAAGCCGTTTTGACCCTCCACCTCTGTAACCCTGGTGCCGTCTCCTCTTCCAGGGGGCTGGGAGGTTGCTGCAGGATTCTGGGAAGCATCCCGCTCAGCTTCGCTCTGAGGTCTGCACCCCCGGTGGAACCACCATCTACGGGCTTCACACGCTGGAGCAGGGCGGCCTGAGGGCGGCGACCATGAGCGCCGTGGAGTCGGCCACCGAGAGAGCCCGGGAGCTGGGCAGGAAGTCAGCGGTAGGCAGCAGGAAGTGACGGCAGGTGGCCTTTCAAAACCTATTCATCCAAAACGCCTCTTAATGAACTTTTTTTTTTTGCTCAACATAAAACTGAATGACAAAACGACAAAAACACACCCTTTTTAATTTTTCTAGTACAGTTTACAACTTGTTTTTGTCTTTGACCAGATGAGCTTAATTTGAGCAAACTGCCACTGACAATGAAATCACATGACCACAAGTCTGTACACTGCAGTTTTTGAGAATGTATGTTTTTCTCATCAGTACATGAAATCTTTTCTTTTCTTCAAATAACACAATAGGCCAGTGAGATGATGATACTAGAGGTTATGAATCAATACAAAAAACGATTTATTCAGTGGTTTAAAGAAACATGTACATAAATAGAAAAATAGCAAATAAAACCGTTAGTTTGGTTCTGCAGAGCTTAAAGTGAATCTCTGCTCTGAGCTCCTTCATTCTTCACCACAGCCTGAACCCTCTTATAAACGCTCTGTGTCCTTTCTTTAAGGAGTCTTCAGGAATACGTTTTCAGGCTTCTTGAAGAACATCCCAAAGCTTGAGATATACTTTTGTCCTCCATGTGTCCAGTTTCCTCAAATGGAACAAGGACACACTGCACACCATGCTGAGATATGCCAAGTTTTCAGCTGACAGCTCTTTGGGAATCAGCTTGTTGCTGCCTAAAATCCTATTTCCTTTGTGTCAAACTGTGTTAGTTTACACATCAACTAAAGAAATGGGAGCAACTCATGTGTCTTTGTGACGAGCTGCTTGTCTCAAAGAGCCTAAAGATCCAGTTTAAACAGCTTCTTTGCTGAGTTGTCCCGTTCTGAGTAGACACAAGGCTGTTTCATTCCTTGACTTTGGGGCTTTTTTGTGCTAAAAGCACAACGCTCTGAAAATGGTCTGCTAAAAGGACAGGGCAGAACATCAGTGAAAATGCAGAAAAATTCTGAAGGAGAACTTTTAACTGTTACAGTTTGGCTGTTCGGAAGGAAAACTTAAAGAAATGCAAGCTGGTTTATATGTTAGCACTGTGTGACATTTGCAGTGGTAGAAGACGTAATTCATCGCCATATTGGGTGTTATCGAGCCACCCCCAGAGCACTGAATGTGTGGCCGCAGTTACATGGTGTGGGTCATGATGTAATGTAGAGAACAGGGTGGAAGATTAATGTGGATGTCTTAATTTATGTGAAATAGTTATTAAAACTACAGAAATATTTAATATTTGAACCCATGAAAGGTGTAAGTAAAATGATGGATTATTTAAAAACAATGGTTGTACAGATGTTGTCAACATCCAGCTGCTGGCAGAGTCTTCTGCTCATCAGTTGAGTCACACTGACTGTCATTAAGGGTCTTATCGGTTGGCTTTTCTGTGGATTTCCTCTTTTGTTTGAACTAAAACGAACAAAAAAAAAAAAAACTGTAAAAATGAATTCTTCCAAAATGAATTAAACACTTTGATCCACATATAAATGTTAAAGGAAAACGAATTGAATTCATAAGGTATGAATTATTATGATGATTTTCACAAAAAGTAACATGTAAAGTTCAAATGGGTGTAACTCATCACATATTCTCATTATCATAATAAATCCTATGGATTCTGAACTCGCTGATGTTGGTCACGTGGTGGGACGGGCTGGATTTACCTGTGGGCGAGCTGAAGGAATAATGAGTGATCTAGCAGTGTTTTTTCTACTTATGAAGATTTATTATAAATGTTCATATTAGTAAGCGTAGTAAATAAAATGATCATTTTGGTGGGTTTTGCCATATTTTTCATACTGTGGTTAATTTTTAATTAATTTTTTTCTTGTAATTTTGAATTAATTATTTAATTTAGTAAATTAGAATTTAATAAACATTAAGAAGATCTCCCCTGAAATGGGAAAGCCCCAAGAGGATTAGATTGTCCACCAGAGGAGGTGGGATGAGTGTCCATCTGACCCACTGTAAGTACACACTGAATAGTCATTTGCAGCTTTAACACAGGAATCCTTTTTTGTATATTTTGTAGTTTTGCTAAAGGTTTTTGTCTCAAATAGCTTTTTAGTGGTTGTTCTATTCTTATGCCTTTAAGGTTTTTTTCTTTGGGATAAATCTTACTTAAAACAGTAATGTATAAGACTATGATTCCATATATTTGCTAGATAGTTAATAATCTATCTTTTGAGAAGAATTGCAGAATATTTTACACAAAATTAATTTTCGGACTCATTTATTGAACAGAAAGAAGAGAAAAATGGCCAGGCAGCCTGCTGTAATTCTGTTATATAAAGGTTCTAAACATCGTGACAACTGTGGGATGTGGCGTTTATTCCTGCAGCTAACAGACCAAACACTTCCCCTCAGTTCATCATTAACCACATTATATCACCTCTGGATAACTCAGAACCATTTACGTGGTTTCTCCTTTAAAGATTGAACAGAACAGCATGCAATAAACACCAAACAATGGAGGTAGATTTTTACAGGACAAAGGCTGAAAGTGGATTTGATTCAATGAGCAGTGTGTCAGAAACAGCTGAAAATTGCATTTAATTTCCACCCAAAGAAGGTGTCAGAGGCCCTCCTCCATGTCAGGACAAATGGGCAACAATCATGATGCATAACTCCCCTCCCCCCATCCTCCAGGATCACATTCACCGTGGCTCCTCGCCTCCTCCTCGTCTCCTCTTCCTCCTCTTCCTCCTTCCCGTTGTCATTCTGCCGGAGGAACACGCGTCTCTGTCCACCCGCCGTGTCTCGCACCGAGCAGACTAAAGCACAGCAGTAAGTCGCGTTCACACTGACTGACAGTCGGGGTCGCAATGTGGGGGTTCACGCCGCCATGGGTTTGAAGGACCCCTTTTGGAAATGGGTCCGTTTAGAAGCCGGGTGTTCGGCTCGTGGTAGCCGGGGCTGGCTAGCAGGTGGCTAGCCTGCTAATGCTAACAGTCACGCCTGCCGGGCGCGAGCCGCAATGGCCGCCTCTGCTGTCTGACAGCTAACCTCAACGCCAGTGTCCACGGCCGATTTAATCCGCGTTTTCATACAACACAGTGCTCTTTTGATATTTGCCTTCGGAAATGGATTAAAGGTGGCTAATGTCGAGGCTAACAGGGCGGACCTTTCCATGATGACAGTCGCTTTCCAGTTATTCAACATTTAGATTGACAGGCTATTATTCATCACAATAGCTTGAACATTTCTCCAATCGACAACACGTGCAGTAGTTAGAACTGTACAGGTCTTAAACTAAATAAATAGGGTTTAAATTATCTTTAATGTCCCTGTGAAGGACCCCTTTTGAACCTTTTTGTGAGAATGGAAAGAGTCCAGCAGGCATCTTGGGGTTAAACAATAATGGCCTTTGATTCCACCATCCATCACATGCCAAGTGCTTTCCATTGTGCTTATATAAATCATATTTAATGTTGCCTTACAAAAGAATGACTTTTAGTCTCAACGTGATCATTTTTTATTTGACATCAGTAGGATGTCATACAGGCTGAAGTTTGCATTTTGAAATGAATCTTACTGCTGCATTCTTAATATAAAGTCAACTTTTTTTGTGGGGGGGTAAATTCTGTCGTGGAAATTTTGGGGAAACTATCTACTTAGCAATCATGTGGTGTATTTGACACACTAATGGGTAACTTACTTTGGAGCTCCTGTATTTTCAACACCATTGTGAGGATTAACAAAAAAAATAAAAGATTAGTGGAAGTGCCTAGGAGCCAAAACAATACACAGATAGTACGATAGGAGTAAAAATAAGCTTAATGACTCTGAGTCTGACTTGTTCTGCTGGGGAAGATGGACTGCTCTCCATTATCTTAGTGACCAAATTATCATCAGTGTGAACCTTTTCATCTTGTCTGAAAATTACAGCTAATGCCAATAATATACCTCCCCCTGCCTAACCCCTTTAGTCAAGCTTTTCTACAGAAAATGGAAATGTTCTAATTTCCTTTATAAGACAGACTTTTAAAGGTGTGCTTTTAACAGTACAAATAGTGCATTGAAGAAAGCTAATTGGGTAATGAGGATCTGGGTCCTTTGGAACGGGTTAGCATAGGTTCTCTCATTTCATCTTGTTGATAACCAAAAGGGGCACTGCCTGAGACTGAGGAGGTTGAGTTTTATCTTTGGAGAAATACTTAAACAGCTTCTTTCCTCTGGCCTTGTATTTGTCAGAGGATTCTACATGGCTTTGGTTTGATCTCGTAGGTGTGTGCCATGTATCGGTCCGTTTTCTAAGGTGGTGATTGTTCAATTTCTTTCTCAATGGCTTGCGGTTCACTGGATGAAAAGAACACGTTGAGCATTTGACTTTGACGTTAGTCTGAGCTCAGCATCTTTACAAAGGGGAGGTGAGTTAAAAGCTCTGATCAACATCATGCAGGATAAACTCTGATTTAGCTCCACATAGGCGGCTCATCTGCAGCATGGAGGGAATGCATGGGCTGTATCGTCAGAGAGAAGAGCATGAGTCGCATGTGGTGTGGTTTGCTACTGCATGAGCATTTCCTTTGCCTGCCTCCATGTCACTGTGTTGTGTCCCTAGGGAAGTGCCAGGAATGTCATGGCGTTTGGAGGATGTCTAACAGCTTTCTTCCTAATCATCTCCTGAAAAATGGGGACACTTAACTAGATTTTGTGGGAACATTTTCAGAGTCTGAGAGTCATCAGTTAACCTCTTAATTTGCATGGACATGAACTGATTTTCTGCACGCCGCTTGTTTTCCTCATGATCTTTCTGTAAACAAAACATCACCAAGAAAAAAAAGACCCTTTTGTCTCTGATTGGTCCTGCCTCTCTCTAACTAATCCAAAAGCTTGTACCTGTGATTCTCTCTGTTTTCCTGCAACGGGTTAAAGATGTCCAAGAAGACCTCACGCTGCCCTGTAGAGGATCAGTCGGAGCCCGATCGGCCTCCCAGCCTTTGCCAGGTGGATCAGTCCCCAAAGACGGCGGCGGGCGGGAGGACAAAAGCCGAGGCCGGGCAGGGAAACGGGGAGCCGGCGTCCTCGTCCCCAGAGAGCGGCAGCCTGAACGGGGACGGAAAGCGCGGCGGCAAAAGCCGGCGCCGCAGGAAACGCTCCTCGAACCCGGAGAGCCGCCCGGAGGGCAAAGCCCCCGACGCGAAGGAGGGAGAGAGAGCAGCCAACCAGGCGAGCCGGCCGGCCGAGCGGCGCGCGGCGCTGCAGGCGCTGCAGTCGGAGCGGGCCAGCGTGTGGCTGGAGCGCGGCCTCTACGAGCGGGCCGAGAGCCTCTACCAGTGCTGGCTGGCCAGCTCCTCCAAGAGGCCGGCCCCGTCCGTGCGCCCGCCCCAGGCCTCGGGCAAGCCCCCCCCACCCAGGGCCGCCCCACCTCAGGCCGGACCGGCGTGCCACCACGGCGAGCAGGTGGCCTGCCACCACGTGGTGCAGGCCGTGTGGGTCAACAAGGCCGCCTTCGACCAGGCCGAGCGCCGCTTTGTGCAGGAGTCCACGCAGCACGCCGTCCCCAACTCCCTAGACCTCCCCCCGGCGCCGAGCCGCTCCGCCCCCTCCAGGACGCCGGATGAAGGATATCAGTCCCTGGCCCCGACTCCCGCAACGCCCGTCGTCCAACCAGCAGCGGCGGCGGGGGGGCAGTCGGTGAACGGGCTGCCCTGCATCCCCGCCGAGCTGCTGAGAGACGTGTGGCTGGACAAACCGCTGTACGACCGCGCCGAAGCCGCCTTCTACCAGAACCAGTACGCCAACAACTCCGCCAAGAGAGCCGGCGCCACCTCCAGAAGTAGCGAGCACCCTCAAAGCCTGGTGGAAGAAGAGGAGGAGGAGGAAGATGAGGGGGCGGTGGCGGAGGGAAAGCAGCCGGTGGTTCCCCAGGGCAAAGCGGAGGTTTTCCACGCCCTCCACCCAATCCAGGAGGAGGAGGAGCCAGCTGAGGTCCCAGAGGAGGAGGCCGCGGGGGTCTGTCACCTCCTCCACCCGGACAGCGAGCGGGTGTGGCTGGACAGGTGGCGGTACGATGCCGCCGAGAGCCGCTTCTATGGCTGCCGCCTGGAAAAAGCCAGTGCAGCCAGGAGGGACGGGAGGCCCGAAGCAGAGGCACCGCCTGCTGCCTCCAAGGCCCCACTGAGGGACAAGTATGACCAAACCGGGAGAATGGAACTGCTCCAGATGTTTCAGTTCATCCTTCACTGCTTTTCTGTTCACCATCACGTTGTTTCAATTCCAGTTTTTCCTTTTGTTCACCCCGTGCCCGTTTCTTCTTTTTGGTCGTATAATTTTTTTTATTTCCTGTGGGTTGTTTTCAGCAGTCTGGATGACTGTCGGTTCGTTTCTTCTTTTGAGCATTTGTAGAATTGGGCTGTATGCTGGTGTGGATGGGAGACCAACAGCTTATATGATTTTCCATGTAATCAACACCATCACTTAAAGCACATCATTCTCTTGTTTCCCGCCCCATTTCTCGTCCTTACTTCCCTCTTTTGTCTTTCCCTGCTCTGTCCCTCCATAGAAAAATGAGTGCAGTGGACTTTCTGGCCCAGGAGAAGATCTGGTTTGACAAACCGCGCTATGATGAGGCAGAGAAACGCTTCTATGAGCGCACCAACGGCTCGTCACCAACCTCTCAGGTAACCGCATCTAAAAGCTCACGCCCATAGAAACACAGAGCCAGAGGAAGGCTGTGGGTCGGATCCGAATCAGGAGAGTCACAGCAGGTCTAAGCTCCTCATTTCTGCCTTCCATCAGGATGTCGGATCCAACTCCATTCTGCAAGACATTGCTCGGGCTCGGGAAAACATCCAGAAATCTTTAGCAGGGGTAAGCATTTTAAATGCATTAGCTTCATATCCGACACTTCCTCTCTAATCTAAGGCTGGCAGCCAGAAAAAACGTGTGTTTTGAAGGAATTGCGGGGAATTACTGTCTAAATCTTTCTCTGGTTATCCGGGAAAGCTTTTTGAAATGCAACCCAAACCCGGTTTGGATGACACAAAAGAACATTTTTGTTTGACAAATCAAAAAATTCCGACTATCAAAATCTACTTTTAAAAACAGTAAAAAGCACGTGTCTTAATGCTGATTCCAGATGATCCAGCTGTGGATGGGTTGTACGTCATAGAGGATGCCCCACACTTTGTGTGTTTTCTTCTCCGCGTGCGCTCGCGGCGTGCATGTTATCAGTGATCCCTCCTGTTACTACCTCTCACCAAATCCTATTGTTTACCAAACATAGATGAAATGGGTCTGGATAGCATTCGGCCCATTTCCTGCTGACTGTTAGCAGGTATTTACTAAATGCTAGATGTGACTACAGTGACTTTGGGAACAGTGTTTATACTGCCTGGTGGTTTAGCTGTCATGCAGCTTTTCTTAGTTTTTTTTTGTTAAGAGTTTTGGAATAACAGATTTTCTTTGGGTTCAAGGCTCATTTCTGTTACGGCGTTCCCTTTCATAATGTCCCTGCTCTGTTGGTGTTTGGCGTCTCCATGCCCTCTGTTCTGAAGCATGCCCTTCATTCAAAGCATTTCCTCCCCTTCCCCTCATTTCTTTCCTTTCATTCCTGAAATGGCCTCCTCCTCCTCCTCCCAGCTGAAGACCACACTGTGTAACAGAGGGTCAGCTCAACCTGTCCTGAGCCAACAGTCTGGGCTTGTAAGTGCCTCTAAGCCTGGTGTGTGACTGGAAGCACCTTTTCCTCACTGACCCCCACCCTCTGTTTGACCTTACCTCAGCTTTTCTAGTTTGTGCGGCGCCTGTACAAACTGTTCTTTACCACCTTTGGGCCCGTGCAAAGCTCGTTTCCCCGCCATCCTATTCTGGTTGTCGCTACTGCTGTGTTGTGTACTCTGTCCCGGGGTCCGCCTGCTCTTTGGCGTTGAGTTTCACTGTGACATGTTGCTCTCGCTAAACTTCCCTGATCTCTTTTCCACGTGTCGCCCCGTGCAGAGCGCCGGCGGCAACAGCGCAGCTGATCAGGGAGAACTCATGTGTCGCATCAACAGCCTGGAGCTGGAGAACCAAAGTTTATACAAAGGTGTGTGTGAGCGCGTGTCGGCTTGAGCAAGAATGACCTCTGTCAGTACAAGCAAAAAGAAAGTAGAATCCGGGACATATCTAAAGATTTTAGCGCTTTGAATGAACTGAACAATTGTCCAAATCTGTTGTTGCAGAGTGCAGTAGTTCTCCTCTGTCCCACAGTGAGTGCCAAAAAGTCTGCGCTCGCATACAAAATTTCAAAACCTTTTGGGTTTTCCCTTAATTTTTTTGCTTTCCTTGAAAATTAAACTGACATTTATCCTGAAATGACAGGTTTTATGTCTCTTAGCAATCCAAAATGTTTGTCTTGGAGGCTGGAAACGGTCACTCCAGACCTCTGTTTTAATCAGATCCAATCGTCATTCCTCCCATGCACCGCACTCAGCAGCCTGACTCTGCTCCTCTCTCTGTAGTGGTGGACAGCTTGCGGGCGGCGCTCTCCAAACTGGAGTGTCGGGTGGCTGTCCTGGAGAAAAGTCCAGCAGCTGTGACTCAGGCTCCTGCCCGCACAGTCCCCTACACAAACGTGAGCTCAATAAGTCCATTCACCTGCATTTAACCCTGAGGAAACCTCCACTCATAACTAAACTGGATCTCCCCAACTGTCCAGGGCACCCCTGTCCAGCAGAAGCCCTGCGCTCCGGTCAAAGAGGATGAAGATGACGATGATGATGACATTGACCTGTTCGGTAGTGATGACGACGAAGAGGCAGAGAAATTGAAAGAGCAGAGATTAAAAGACTACGCAGAGAGGAAGGCCAAGAAGCCCGCCATCATCGCAAAGTCCTCCATCTTACTAGACGTCAAACCGGTGAGTTAGTTTTTCTTTGAAAGGGTCAAATGTCTCCTTTTAAGAACCAGACGTTCGGCCTTCCGCTGACACGCCCACTCTCTCCTCCACCACGTCCAGTGGGACGATGAGACGGACATGGCGAAGCTGGAGGAGTGCGTGCGCTCGGTGCAGGCCGACGGCCTGCTGTGGGGAATGTCCAAGCTGGTGCCCGTGGGCTACGGCATCAAGAAGCTCCAGATCGCATGTGTGGTGGAGGACGACAAGGTGGGAACAGACCTGCTGGAGGAGGAGATCACCAAGTTCGAAGACTACGTGAGTACAGTGAAAGCAGCACGCCAGTCAGAACAGCTATGTGGGAGATTCTCTTTAATGACAACAGCGTGCAGCAAACAGAGGCTAACCCTTTAAAGGACACTTTAAATTAAACATTAAACTGATTTTTTTTTTTTTTTTTACTTTTCAAAACTCAATAGGATAAGAAAACAGGCCTTACACACACAATATGACACAGTGGTTTATGGCTCTTCCTGATTGATCAGAGCCGGTGACATCACCAGCTTTAAAGTATTCTGACTCTTGATGATTAGCTTTATTTAATATGGTGGCTTTAAATGAGCTGTAGGGTCAGAGAATGTCAAACTGAGCAGAACTCGGCTCTTGCTGACCCATTTAGCATAAACAAGAACATCTGATGTAAACAAAGCTCACAGCAACCCCACAGCAGGCTGCAGTGAGGTCCTTTAACACACAGATGGGTTTGGTGTGTTTTTGGGACTGAATTAGCTGTAGGGCAGCACCCTTATGTCGAAGTCACAGAGCTAACCACCAGCTTCCCTAAAACTTTATGGACATCCTTTCATGATGAAGGATGTATTCTTTGAGATTACAGCCCAGTAGCACCTGGTCTGGTCCAGTTTAGAAGTTCTCATCAGAGAGCAACATTTTTAGCCGTTTAAGACCAATCCTAGCTCAAATTTCTTTTCTACTTTGAACCAAAGAGTAACGCTGCATGTGTTGCAGTCTGTTTAAAGTTTCCTTTAACTGTAGAGGAACTGGTGATTATCTGTGACTCACATGGACGTCAGTACTGTGGAAAAATGAGGTAGAGAGAAAAGCTGACAGTTTTCTGCTCTGTTACAGGTCCAGAGTGTCGATGTGGCAGCTTTCAACAAGATCTGATCCCAGAGCACCTCTTCCTATGTTCGTGTCGGGCCCCGTTTCTCTGCTGATTGTGTCAACGGTTAAAAATAAATAAATCCAACTTGCACTGAAACAGCTGTCTTATTAACTTTGTGATATGTGGGTTGAAGGGAAATAAAAATGTCCAGCCATGCAAACTGTAAAAGGAGGTAGGAACACAGGATTGTAGATCCTGCTAGTTGCTGTGATAATGATCCCAGCATGAGGCACACAGAACATCATAAAAAAAAGAATGTATTGATAATACATTAGTAACTAGAAGTGCTATAAATGCTAATAAACTTCCACCAGCAGTGATGCACTCAGGTACACTCTAAACTTAAATGTATCCCCGAAAGCTTGCATTGTCTTGCTTAGAATTGTCTGACATTCTCCAGAGGAGAATGTGGTTAAAAAGGATTGTCTCGAAATGTATATTTAAGTCACTATGGGGAATTAAGTCACTATGGTGTTAATACGTTTGAAATTGTAGAAAGTCCTACAAAGTGAGTTAAAACACATGCATACCATCTATATGCTGTGATGGTCAGTCGAGGGCACACAGGGTGATGGTGGTCATGCCTCCCAGCCACACTGCAGGGTAGAGTGGATGCTTGAATTGTGCCTCCACCCGGTGGAGGAGGTGGACCTCTGTGGGCGTCACCATGTAGAAACAAAGCAGGCCGGCGTCGTGGTCCAGAAACACGCCGACCCGGCGGGACAGGGAGCTGCCCGGAGCCTCCACCGGCTGCTTCCTGGAGCCGTGGCAGAAGACGAAGGAGGACGAGCCGCACTGCAGACTCCAGGACAGAGCGTTGTGTCCCAGCCTGCACTCATCAGAAGATCCCTATGGTCCAAGAAAAAAAGATCCAAAATGCATTTATTCCTATTGTGTCAGACGAAAAAACTGCTTATTATTTCTCAGGGTTATTTCTCATTGAAATAACTAGTCTTAATATTTTTACTGTCTGTACCTTTCTTCCAATACCCTCATAGGTGAGCCCCAGCGCCACCTGCTGGCCGTCCCACTCTGCCTCCCAGTAGCTGCGGCCCTGAAGGCCCTCAGTGCACAACACCTGACCCCAGGTATCAAATCTGTCAGGGTGGTCTGCGTAATCCTTAATTCCTCCAGTTCTGCTGACCACGCGGTTCCTTTCAGTCAGAGCTAGTTCTCTGTGAGCGGTGAACGGGTCCCAGAAAATCAGGGAAAAATCTGGAAGAGAGCAGATGCGTTGATTTGTGAAGCTGACAGATGGTAGCAGTGACCGGCCGACAGGCTACTCACACTACAGGAGGTCACTTCTGCTGCCTAAAGAGGGAGCAGGTACAGGAGCACAGGCTACCTCTGCAAACAGAACAGAGCATGCACAAAAATATGTTTGGAGAGAAGAACGACTATCTGCTCACTCTGTTCCTGCAGCCAGCAAAACGGGTCCAAACAGGACCAAGACTCTTGTTTGAACCCAGTGTCATTCTTCCATTATTCTGTATTTGATCAATGTGACATATGATGCAGTTTTTACATGTTATGACAGGACTTGGAGCTAAAATATTCCAGCACACAAAGAAAAGTGAGTTATAAAGTAAAACTGAAGGTAAAACTTCCTTTAAATAGCTAATTAGACCAATTGTGAGGACGAGTATTGAAGGATACTGATGTCTGTGTGCCTAACAATCACTTTTAGACCAGTGTCAGGTTGATTTGAGCCACAGCTGGAGTGACTTGTTTAAGGTGTTTTAACACCAGCATGTGTACATATGGTCACAGTACACTAACATCTAGTCTAAGCTCGAAAAGAAAAGAACAGATTGCATCAAATAAATCAGTCCACAAACTGTCTAAATACTTGTGAAATCTTCTGTTCTTCTCTTACATATTTAGTACAGTCCTCACCTTTTCTGGCTGCTTTCAGCTCCAGGAGTTTCACACTTTTCACTGTGGACACAGAGATAAAACAGGGACTAACTTTAATCTTTAATTGGACTGGAAAGTTGCTGTTAAATTAAAAATAGACACGAACCGGCAGAGGCCACGCTGGGGAACTCTGTTTGATACAAGCTCTGCAGCTGCTCCTTCAGGTCTGAGACGGCCTTCCTCACAGGCCCGAAGGAGAGGCTTGGACTGACCGTCAGGGGGCTTCCTGACTGTGCGGCCACCGGGCAGCGACAGCTCTCACACATCTGCAGCAAAAACATCCATTTATCACAGCCGCTTACCTTCCAGGTATCGATGGATATGAACATGTTGGAGTTTGGTGGACCTGTGTGACCAGAGGCTGGTCCTGGGAGCCGGACAGCTTCTTCAGCTCGCCGTCTCTCCGCCGCAGCTCCGACAGCTGCCGCTGCAGGCTCTGCAGCTGGGTCTCGGCCCGGGCCCTCTCCGCCTTCTCCTGAGCCCTGATCAGCTCCTTCATATCCACGCGGCGACGCTCCAGGAAGTCGATGAGCTGCGAGAAGATCCTGCTGCTGTCCTTCGCCGCAGCTTTGGCCAGACCCTGAGGAAAGGGTCAGAGCCATTTACGGTTTATTTTCCACCTTTTGCATAAAAAAAATAGCCCTTCGAACATTTAAATCTCTCTCCTCACTGAGAAGGAGCGCAGACTGTGCTCCAGATGCTGAAGCTCCGCCTCTTTCTGCGTGATTTCTGCTTCCAGGTGTCTGCGCGTTTCCCCCAACAGCCTCTGAAAAGAGCAGCGTTATGCCGGTCGGAACAGTGCGAGAACACAATGGTTCTCTAAGCCGACGCCCACCTGCGCATCGTTCCGCTCTGGCCGCACTGAGGACACGTCAAAGGTGGCGTGCTCGAAGCCCGCCGCGGGGCCCAGGACCTCGTAGAACGGAGGAGCCGAGGGGCCCTCGGTCAGCGCGGTGGCTCCCAGCTTCTGCATCATCTCGACCAGCAGGTTGTTCCGACCCAGTTTGGGCCGCGGGCGGAAGGTGGCCCTGCACTGCGGGCAGCTGCAGTCGGTCCGGTGGTCCCAGAAGTCGGTGAGGCAGCTCATGCAGTAGCTGTGGCCACACGGGATGGTGACCGGATCTCTGAACAGCTCCAGACAGATGGAGCAGCTGAAATGGGAGCTGAGGGCCGGGGCCTGAGCCATGGCAGCTGCAAAAGTTAAAAACCAAAAAGCACTCGCATTTTAAAAGTGATGCTCATTTCTAAATGAGTGACATTGAAGAATCCCACTGTCCACCTGGGACATGAAGGCACCTGCTATGTTCAGGCTATACAAAGTCTATATTTTGTTGATTGGTGTTTGTGTATTTCTGATTTTGGAGCTCTCCCTCTGAACGTTTGATGAATTCCAAAATACTGATTATGCAAAAAGACGATAAAAGAAGGATGGATGTGAGGATGGACAGCTGGATGGATAAATGAGCAAATTAATTTATTCAAAGTTATGTTTTTTCAGGAATTCATTGCTTGGGAGTTCTCCCTTTTAGTTCTGCAGATATTTTCCAAAATGCACATACTGACAACAAAGACAGATGTGCACGAACTGCAGCTCAGTAATCTGAAAGCCAGACAGCAGCAACATGGACACAAAGACAGCAACAGAAAAACCCACACCTCACTCCTCTGAGCAGCAGCTGGGGCCTGGGGCAGCTCTAGGGGCTGGGGCTCTGCCGTGGACGGGGCTTTCGAACACTGTGTGGAAAACGGACACAAAGGCAGGACTAAAAAAACAAGCCCAGCTTCAGAAAAGTCCCAGCTTTGTTCACCTGGAAACAGAGAAGACGCTGAGTGATGGATGCAGAATTGAAGCATTAAGGAAATGCCTGCAATCGGCTGAGTGTCAACAGAAAGCTGTGGAGTTGTGTTCGAGATGCAGAGGAGTGCAAAAGCTGCAACACTATCGTCAAAACGGGAACCGTTGGGTTATTCGGTCTGCTAAACAGGGCAAAACTGAGGAAAAGCTGGACTTGAATCGTCTTCCTGGAGACAGAACAGCAGTTTGAAAAAAATGAACTCACGATAGTTTATCTTTGTACGGGACTTCCCGTGCCTGCTCTCGCGATATAATTAAGAAAAGTAGATTTTTTTAAGCGCTCCGAAAGGTCGAAAGAAAGTCCAGTTTACAGACCTGACCTGACGGCGTGTCTTTTTTTTCGGAAGTCCAGGCTGGAAGAACAGGAAACAGGGAGGGAAAGCAAAGGGGGAGAGGAGTTTCACTGCCGTTTGCTGGTGACAGACAGAAGCGCAGCCACCGCACCTGATGTGTAATGAGGGGGATTGTCCACCAGATGGAGCACGTCAGCCCTTTAGGATTTTACTCCTGCTGTCAAAGAGATGAAGGCATTCATTTATTCTTTCTGGTGTATAAAATAAATATTTCAGATAATAAACTGAGCCCTATGTCAGCACCTTAGACACCTTAACAAAGTTAAATATGCACATAAAGGATAACTAAGAGTGATCAATGTGACACTGACTGATTCCACATTCAGTCTTTCATAAGTTGTCTACTTTAGTATAACCACTCTATATTTGACATGTACATTTATTTGATGGAGGTCTGTAAGTATTCAAAGTTTGAATGCAAAAAGCTGTTAAAAGGCTGAGATTTGAATTATAGGTGGGAGCTATAGGTGGACAATGACATCTCAGGATGAGGGCTTTGCTTTCTGGATGGATGTTAGATGTTGAGTTACCTACCATTGACCAATCTCGTTCATACTTTTTCCAGCCAACACAACAGAGTCTTAACCAACACTAGCTCTGGAAGCACTCCACTTTATCTTTAGAAGTGAAAGTCTTAATAACAGACAACAAAGTGTGTTGTCGTAAAGTGTGTGTGCGGCTGTTTTTTGTTTCTCTGTTGATAAAGAACAGTTAAAGTGGTAAAACTGCAGTGGAGGCAGGGATGGGCTAATAAAGCCTCAGTTAAGAGCCGGTCTGTCTGTCTAACTATCCATCTGTCCCCCCATTCCAGTTTTGTATCAGAGGCCATTCTTTCACTGCCTCCTCCCATAAAGGAGGCCCCGTCCAGCCTTTGAAAGGCTGCAAATGGCACCCTGATGAAAGATGACTGGATGGAAGAATGGAGGAGGTGAAGATGACCTTACATGTTCACTGTTCCTTGGTCATTCAGCAGAGGGGGAAAAAAAGAGACAAAGTCAGACAGGACCAAACTCTTGAGCAGAAAGGCTGAGGGAAACTGTGTGTTACCTTATGAGAAATTCTCCTATAAATGGAATATACACACATTGACGAAACAACTAACTAGAGAGAATGACTGATGGCCTCTCTGTCATGTTGCTGTTATTTTCACTGAGTGATGGACAGATAAAAGTACTGGACCACAAACATTAAACCCATCACAAATTCTCCAAAATAGTTTTTAAACCCAGTCTGTTTTACAGATGTGATGGCATTTTTGTTACATTTTGTGGTGATATCTAAATATTCCTTTGGATGTTTCCGTGACATTCTCTCCATTGTTTCTCTTACTTGGATCATGTGTCATGTTTTTACGGTGAGCACGGCAAGTGGAGTCTGACATGATCCTTGCTGTGATTGCTGTGACTAGATAAACCATCTAGCTATGTTATCAGTTTGTAACCAAAGCACATCATTACAGAGCACTGAGTAGTCTGTCAAGAGCTGATACTCATACATAGCGGCTCCATTTGCAGCTTTGTGTCATTGTTGTAGCTCTGTGAAACCATCTGGTTAATCTGGTAATCGGTTAAATGTGTGCACGTGTTTTGAATCTTTGAAACTTTTGGGACTCATGCCCAGTTTAGATTGCCAGCTTTGGTATGAGGCCATTTTCTGTCACTGGGATTTTTGGATCCCATAGCTGGTTGTGTTCAAAATGTTCCTGGATGAAATAAAAAGCAAAACGCTTTACCTCACACATGTCATAGTACGTATAATAAGAAAATGAACTAAATTTGTTTCAAATAAACTGCAGTCAAGAGTTTGAAAAAAAGTGCATACAAGGGTCTCAAACTAGTCATCGAGGGCCACCTCAAGGACCTGGTTTCTCCTGGTTTCAGGAGTTTCCCTGATTCAACTCACCTAATTCACATCAATGCATCATTAGCAGCAACCCGTGCAGAGGCCAACAGTGTTTTGAACAGCTCCTCTGATCAGAATCAGGTGTTAAATCAGGGTTGTCCTTGAGGGCCGCTGTCCCGCAGGCTTTCCCCGTTTCCCTGCCTCAACACACCTGATTTAGATCAATGCATCATTAGCCGGCTTTTGAATGGATCCATTTCTTCAGACTTGGGTGAGTTGAAGCGTGTAAAAAGCGGCAGAGCAGCAGGCCCTTGAGGACCGGAGAGTGAGGGCCCTGCTGTGTGGTGTCTGTGTTCTTCTCATGAAACTAAAAATGGACAACTTGGACAAATGCGCAAAAAATGATTTAGGATTCATACTTGATGCTGAGGATGACTCTTAGAGCACATTTGAAGCGGTTCATTTCATTTTATTCGGCTGCTAATCCATTCATCAATAATGTGTCCACATGGAAAGGCCCGCAGGTCTTCGGTGCCGTGTCGCTCAGTGCTGCTTTTGTCAACAAGCAGCAGCAGATAATTAGATTTAAGGTTTTTCATGGTGGTGGAAGCTGCTTTGAGGGTTTGTGGTGCATGATTGAGTCCTGAAGTTGTCACTTTCTCACTCAGGCGCACGCACGCACGCACACACACACACACACAATCAGACAGGGCTGTAATCTTTCCTCATGCAGATCAATAAACCCGATAATAACTCCATCCTGCCAGCTGGCAGAGACTAATGTGCCGGCAGACACTCGGTTCCTCATGAGGGTCGAGAGTCCTGGGCGACTGAGAAAGACAGATGATGAATCATTTGTGTGGCTCTGTGCATATATTTTCTTCTAGTTGTCGGCTCTCCAGAAAAAGGCGTTATCTCATCGCTTAAGGTCCAGGTCACCATGAACTGCATGCATAAATATACATTATCACAAGGTTCTTTTAAAGTTGTGATGTCTTTTTAGGGTGATAACAATGGCAAAAAATAAGGAAATGACCTCCAATGATACTTGTTTGGGCTTCTACACAGATGGGATGAAAAAATGGTGCATGCACACGAACAGATTACTTATTTAAAGTGAGGAAGAATAATGTTTACAATGCAATAACATCTGGCATAAATCCAGTTCAGTTTGTAGTACCAGTCAACCGCTATGATGTATTTATGTATGCATAAATGTATGTATGTCCTCCTTCATCCGTGTTTCTATGTTTCTTCTTGTCATCCTCCATCTTTGTTTACACCAAATATGTCCTCCTCTACCTTTACATGTACTTATTCATGTTGTCATTCCCATCCACATCAGTGTGTATGTATACATGCATGCCATCCCTATCCAAAAATGTACAGTATGTGTGGACACTGCAAGTGAGGAGTTTGGATACAATGTCATAACAAAAGTAATTTTAAAGCATTTCAGAGTTATGATTAAATTTAAGCCAATTTGAATCCAATACACTGTAAGAACATCTGATCAAACCAAATGAAATGTGTTGATTTCAGAATTGGTCAAAATCATACAAAGCAATATATAAAAGAATGGAAATCAACAGACTGCCAATAAGCTTTTTGATGTTATCCCCCAACCTGAGTGTGTATGAGATGACTGTGGAGAGAAAAAGCTTTTTTTTTAAGGATGAAATCACTGGTAGAATCATACTCAGGATAAGACCAATCTGTCTCAAACTGCTAGGGTTTAAAATGAGAGGGAAGAGGGCTAAAGGGCATTTCGCCCTGCTAGTAGAAGAATGAAATGTCTGGTCATGACTGATTTGAATGACTTCTGCACAGCGCTCACGTTTTGGTGAAATGCCTTAGTGAACATCGGGATCCACGAGAGACACTAAACTTGGAGACGGTTCTCAGAAAGCTCTTCTCACAAATCAAGATAACCTTTTAATCCCTCTCTCTTGCTATATAGCTCTGGTCCCCTTCATGTGCAGCAGCTCAGAAGTCACATGTGAGAGCCTTATGAAAAGAGGAAAAGCTGTGATCATGACACCGCTGTCACCCTCCTTTCATCAGAGCGACATCCACCTCCTCGGCTGGTGAATCAAAGTGCACCAAATCTGTGAAGAGACATTTTGACGGTAGCTCTCTAATTTTCTTTTCTTATTACTTTCTTCTCTTCACTACATTTCTGACATGTCTGTCCACTTTGAGTAGAAACACATTTCAAAGAGCTTTTGGCAGTAACGTAATTTGAAAGTAAAACTCATTACATATGGCTCTATTAAATAGCCATGCTTTTCAATGAATTTGATTGATTTACTATTCTTTAAAATGTATAAATGCGTTGGAAGATAAAAAAGACTCAAAGCATGCAAAGAAAAGGATTTTGTCTCAATAAAGTCCAATTAATAAGTAGAGCTTTCATTCAGATATGTAAGTAAATTAGTCTTGATATGATCCACGTTTTTAATTTGGTTGTCTTATCTGTAAAAGAGCTTCAAAGTTCAAGTTCATCTTTAACATCATAGCAAAAAGATCATCCTTTGCGAAAGGGGAGCAGAGATTTCTATTACACTTTTCTTTGTGTTTGTATCACACAAATGAGCACAGTTAAGAACAAACTGAATGTCCTGTAGTTACTTGGTCATGCCCATCCTGGGCAGGTAGCACCAAATAACAGGGGCAACCCTAATCCCCACTAAAAAAACTAATTCAAACCTGAAACAAATCTGTAGCAAATAAACCGTTGATATTAATATATACAGATTTTTATACATGTCTCACATTTAAATGATTGAACAGTGACAAAGCCTTTGTTTTACGGCTGATTGGCTGTTTATGTAAATAAACCGCCTCATCCCACTGTCCTCTCTCCTTAATTTCTTCTCTCATCCAACTCCAGACGGGCTTCAGCTCAGCGGAACAACAAACACAAGGCCGACAACACTTGGGGACCCCCAGAGAAGCAGCCACATTTCCAAGAATTAGGGCAAACAGATGAATTAAACATCAGAACATCTTCCACTCCAGCCACTCCGACTTTGCTTCTCAAAAAAGGACAAACATCACGCAGAGACGCGAGAACCCATCTTTGAGAGACTTGAGTCAAAACAGGAAGTGCGGGAATCAATTGAGGAGAAGCTTCATCAACAAAAAAATAATGAACAATTCTTTTTTTAAATGAAACACGAGACAAAAGGAGCAGGTTCTGATTTGAGTCTATTCTTTATAAGATGACAGGTAGTGCAGGAAATGATCACTCCCTCACTTAAAAAAGTATAACAGTAAAATAAAAGGCAAAATCATTGATTACTTTAGATTTTTTGTTACATAAAAAGATAGAATTTACTTAATTGGCAACAATCTATGATTACTAATAAAAATTCCAGGCCTTCATGAGCAGCTCCGAGCTTCCTTCATCCTGCGTCCACAAATAAAATATTCCACTCTGGCACAGCTAAGTTACACATGAATGAATCTCAGAATAAATCACTATCCTACTTTCCTTCATTTGTGACAGCCAGAAACATAAACACAAAAAGTATGTGCACAGCTGTGCCTTCATCAGCAAAACACAAAATAAATCAATTTAGTGGTTTTCAGAGTCTAACAGAGCAAATCTGCTTTTTCTTTTTGTTTTCTTCAGTCTGTCTAGGTGTGTTAGATCAGCATAGAATGAATATGATTACTGTGGTTGTAAAGCAGGAGAATAAACACAGTCATAGCCACTGTTTTCTATTTTTCTCAAGCAGCAGGAAACAGTCATTTGTTGCATTTGGTCATAAAATTCATTAGCTTACGAGTGGTTAAAAAACCGTGAATGAGGTGGGCTGAATGCTGGCGTCTACATGCAGCAGGAGTGTTCTGCTTTATCTAAGTGGGCTGCTGTGACCAGTTTTTCCACAATGAGGCTGCACACCTTGCAAGGGTTTCAATTTGCGAGTCAATCAGAGTCAATTTTTCTGCTTCAAGAAAGCAGAAAATGATGTTCAAATCATTAGTGTGAAATAGAACCAGGATTCTGATGCCAGAATAATTCCCTGCTTTTTATTCCTGTTTACAAGCACGTAAAAAGTCTGTGATGCATCTTTTTTTTTCTAAAATTGCCTATCAAACATCTGCAGGTCCATGTGTTTTCAGCTTGTGGTCTGGAGGTGGACCGAGGTGAGTCAGAAACACCAGAAGTCTGACACGGACCGAGACGGGCTCTTTGTTCCTCTCATTCTACTGAATATAAACTGACTGCATCCACAGCTGGGTCTAAGAACTTTTTGGTTGCTTTTAAGGATAGTTAAAAAAACAAGAGTGAAATTAAATTAGAAAAAAAGCACAAATCTTCAACTAAGGCAAATTATTTAAATGAAGCTTTCTAACTTCTCTCTTAGTGTCGGTTCATTTTAACCTGTAAAACAGCGGAAAAATTTAAGACAAAGACATACTCTGCTGATGAATTGAAAAAAAAAAAGAATAGAAAAAGATTTGACTTTGGTTTCCATCTTTTATCAGCAGCAAAAGATGAAGTAAAGGAGACATACGATTATCTCCTTTTTCTCCCTCAGACAAGCAAAGTGGCAAAAACAAGCTGTCAGACTGAGAAGTTCATTTCTGTCTTTGGTCGGTTACTTAAAGATCTGCTCAAATAATACGCGCCTCTGCCATCTCTTCCTGTTGACAGCTCATTTTGGCACCTGTCTCTGGCTCAAAAAGCCCTTTTCACCCACACAAAGATGCTGTTTGCCATCAGACAGAAGCCATTCTGGTCCATTCTTAGAGGCTCTTCCAGCCAGATCCAGATGAACACACTGATCAGTCTGCAGCTGCCCTTTTTAAAAAGAATCTTTTCAGGGTCAAATTTGAAAGAATGCAATCTTATGGATACAATTTAACAGCCAACAAAGCTTAACATTGTAAAAAAAAAAAGGCTGGCTTTACCGCCAAAGGTCCATATCATGCCGCCATGTGGCTGCTGGAACAAAGAGGGGTCAGGAAGCATTTCTTATGGATCAAGAAAGACTCCCAATTCAGCCGCTTGACATTTCCAGAGAGTGAGCCCAAAGTGAACTTACCTGAACTTTTTCCATCTACAACACCTTCACATCCCTTCAGACTTTCACTTCCTTCCCTTTCCCTCACAAACCCCTTCACGCTGTGCTACGACGTACTAAAAGTAAGTTATATTGCTCTTTAACATATATTAATAGCAGTTTCTACGTGGAATCCTTCCAGCAGCTTTTGTTTGATTTATCACCATCATGTTAGGTAACATCCATTTAAATGGATGTAAAATTACACAACATAAAGAGTGAAATCTTCCACCCATTTAAAGGACATTTCATCACATTAATTACATTCATTATTACATAAAATGGTTGTCGTTGCATATCTATGGCAGACATAACACCTTTAAGAGCTACATCAAAAGAAATAGTGAATAAATCTTTTTTTTTTCAGTTTTTGCATTTTTGTTAAAACTTTGAATGCTCTAAAGCACTTCATTGCTCTTATTTATCACCTAATGCCAGTTTTGATTCATAAAAAAGTAGCTTTAGAGTCTTAATGACCCCAGATCAACAGTGTTTGTGGACTTTCGAACTTTTGAACCGCATACGTCAAAAAAGTTAAAAGAAAAGTTGGAAAGCCACAGATCCAGCCCCCTTTCCTGATGGGACTTCTTCCCTTTTCATAAAATGAGGCCGCCAGCGGGGGGGTGGGGGGATGGATATACAAATGCCAGCGAGTATTTGATCCGCACCACTCATTGTGGGTTGTCTGAATGGGCTCCATTGGGTTTATCACAATAAAAGTCCCCAGCTCTTTTTAATCGGCGGCTGCTGGATCCAGCTGTGCGTCACTCAAACGACAGCAGGTCAGGATGAGGCTCCGCGTCCTCGGCGTTGGCTCCCGGGCCTTTGCTGCAGGGGGCGCCGTTCCCCAGAAGGACGTCCTCGTCCAGGCTGATGCGGCACGGCGTTTTCCCGGAGCGGGGGGTGGAGGCCAGCCGGGCGTCTGGCCCGGGCGCCTTCTGCCACACGTCGCCGGGTTTGGCTTTGGACTCCGGAGGGGGATCTTTGTGGATGAGGTCTGGCACGGAGAGCTGCGGCGGGTGCTGACGTTCCTCCACGCCTCCCTCTGCTTCTTCATCCTCTCCTTCCAACGCTCCGTCGTCTTCGCTGTTGGCCGAGGCCGTCTCAGATCCAGAGGCGTCTTTGTTCTCTGCTGAGCCAGGTGTGATATCCGTGGAGCTCTCCTCCGCTGGGTTTACCTGCCGACGCTCCTCTCCGCTCTGTGTCTCCTCCTTTTCAATCAGAGGCGTCTTTTCTGGGGAGGGGAGGAAGGAGGGAGAGTCGACGGGGTCCGGGGAGGATACCACTGGGTCAGAGGAGATCATCATGTCCTGGGTCGTCTTCAGCGCTCGAGGGAGGCGCTTCTTCCCCGACGGAGGGGGCGGCTCCAGCCGGGGGAAGGCGTCGAAAGAGGAGATGTGGCTGGAAAAGAGGAGAAGGAGGACAGTAATGAGTCCTGGAGACAGAAAGATTTAACAAAAGGGGCGTTACACCTGAAAAAGAAAAGAAACAGATGTTCATCAACAGCTTGGTGTCTTAAGACCCTGATGTGCACCTCTGCCTGTACCTGGAAACACATTAGAACAAACAGCAGGGGCCTCGATTTGGATTCACAACCACCTTTCTATGAATCCGCCTTAATCATTACAAAAATGTCCCTAAGAATGAACGAAGCTTTATCTGCCGCTGACACGTTTTCATTTATAACTGAAGTCTGCAGTGGTGCTGGGTGACACCCATCTGTTACATGCTCCAGGGACGGAGCGAGCACAATCTTTAGAAAAATGATTTTCATGTTTACAACAGGCAGGTTGTATGCCTCCTGTTTGGCGGCTTACAGCAGTCAGACAGTGTCAGCCCGTGGCAGCGGCCTACATGAATGCAGCTGGCTGGGATGAGCGCCAGCGCGCCGCAAAGAAGATTTGATGAAATATTCAATCACGGAAATGACAACAGCACTAAAAAGAACATGCTTTTCAGTGCTCTAATAAACACTCTGCAGCCCATGAGCTGGGAGTCAAAGCGGGATAGCTGCGCAAACTGGACCACATGGTTGGTTTAGTCATGATTAAGACTTAAAAAAAACACATTGTGGAGTTTTGTTGCACAGCTGTCTGAATATTTTTTCTCCTGAGGTAAAGCCTGATTTACTAAATGTTTTATTTCCTGTTTCTTCTTGTCTTAATCAGCATGTTGTCGTGTGTTTGAACGTTGATGCACATCATGTGCAGATTATGAGTTTAACACAGACACAACGGGCCGTGCAGAAGAGTGGAGTGTTTGCTGTTAGGTTTGAAAACACACACAAGCCACTACACACAAATGACTTGTAGGTTAGATGTTTGGGTTTCTGTTGCCATGCGTCAGATAGATAACCTCTGCTGCACTTATTATCTGTCGGACTGTGAGACAACAGGGCAGAAGAAGCGATTGCTAAAGGTTTGACACTTTATTATACAGAATGAAATAAGAAAAAGAGACCTATGATATAAAAAAAAACTATGAAAATCCGCAAATATTCTAAATGAATATGATAAAGTTAGTTCTAAATGAGTTGCAGATCAGCGTCGCATTAGACGTCAAATTCTGTCATGAGTGAGCTCATCTGAATGGGCGGAGATCACCAAACAGTGTCAAACAGGGTTAAAACCACTGTCATTTTTGCAGAGCAAAAGCTGTATCATCAAGACATTATGAGCCGTTTCACATGTGAACTAAATTACAGCAGGCTGAAGATCCTCCTTCTGCTTCAGTGCTGCTGATGAATAAACCAAATCCAGCAGAAAACTCACAAACCCCGCACAGACACTGCCATTTCCATTTCTTGTCATTATGCACATTGACAGCTTCTCATTTGAATTTAAATACAAATACAACAAACACATCCAGAGTTTTTTTCCAGAGAAACAATCTTGGAGAGCTGAAAAACCCTCCACACTTCATTTTTAGGAGTCGCTCAGTGGTAACAGAAAGGCTCAGAAAAGCCTGGAAAATCACCATCCTCTTCGCTAAATCTCCTTAACGTGCACTGCATGCAGGCAGATGTGGCCAGAGATGCTAAAAAATGACTTGCTCGGCCACAGGAAAAACCCAACACTAATACAAACTCTCAGAAACAACACATGAACCTGTGTAAGCTGACCACAAGCAAATGAGTTTCAGGCATAGTTATCAATTCAAAAGCAGATGATAAAACCCTGAATTATTGACCATATCTGGACCTGGTCCACAGGAATAGACACCTTCTCTATTCCATTAAAGATTTAAACAGAGAGCAAAGTTTTCTTATATTTAGACATCTGTGAATGAACTCTGTGGAGTGTTATTATCTAAAGGGTGTGTGTGTGCACCTGTTTGCGGAGGCCTGGCTGAGCTGGTCCATGCAGCTCCACACAGCACCCACATTCTTGTTGACCTCAGTGACTCCGATGTCGCCCAGATGGCTGGACTCTTTTCTTCTCAGCAAGTCGTTGACCTGAGGGGACGCGAACACAAAGGTGGGCGGACACAAACGGTTACTCCGCGGGGTTATTGGTCAGGACCGGGCACAGCTGAACGCTCGCTGGTCCCCTCGTGTTTTACCGACCTTTGCCCCCACCGCCTTGCCCAGGTTGATGGCATTTTTCAGCCGTTGCTGTCCCCCTGAGGACGGGGAGTCCATGTTCCCGGAGCCCGCGCTGGGGGCTGCGGACGCTGTGGAGCGGCGGGTGGACGCCTGACCCGGTCTGGCCGCCTGAGAACTCTGCTGCTGGGCAACCGAGTTCTCAAACATACTTTGATCAACTGCGAACAGGAAACAGACAGCTAATGAGAGGGGTAACGAGCACCGCTTAGAAATGTTTGCTTGTAGATGGTGTTGCATGTCACAAAGACGCATAACCTTTAAACATAAGATGATAGACAAATACGTAAGCTCATTTAAAGATGTTTATGCTCTGATGCAGTGAATTCAGGCTAGTTAGCACCAAGGAGCAAAAGCTTTGCCACGGCAGCTTTGCTCAAAACAGACTGATGGCGCATTATCACAGAAAAAAATGAGCTTTAGATGGTAAAGCTCCACAGTAACGCTGTGTGGGATGGTCACAGAGTGACAAACAAAGCCGAACACAAGGGCACTGCAATGACACACACACAGTAATGGAAGCAACAGCACGACAATGCATGGCAATGCAGCATAAAGGGTTCAATGCAGGACTAGAAAAAGCAAAAGGAAATGAAGCCCGGGGGTATTCTATTTAAGATAGAAGATCTTACCTCTTGGAGAGAAATATTTCTCGGAAGGCATTTAATGAGACAGAGAGGCATCAGATTTCAGATCATTTCACCTCTAAAGGTGCATATTACTTCTGCTACATCACAAACATGCTGCTTATCCACATAATATCAGTCAAGGCTAAGAGAGGCAGAGGAAATTCATTTCAGAAAGCTATGTAGATTGGACCTGATCCATTGAAGGAAAACATTGGAAACACCTTGACATCTCTCTGAACACACAAGTATTCCACTTACAAATTAAGTAAGGAGACCTACAAGTTCCATTAGAAAGAAGCAGAGGACATGTGATACGGTATTATGAACCAACGCTAGCAGAGGCCATTAACTGAAAAAAAGAGGATGTGAGAAGAATGAAGATAAGTTTATGCATTTACCACAGTGTGCATGCAAAGAAGCAGGCAGACTTTGAATCAATTTCCTCAAGAGCGAGAAGTAAAGTAAAAATTTAAGTCTAGAGTGGAATAAAAAATTGTGCAGATAATGTATATGAATGTTCTGCAGGGCAAGGGAGCTCGGTAAGTTGAGACTTAAGCCCAGAATCATCCACAGACAGGTTTCCTCCACTGCTTTTTTGTCTGCAGTTTCGGCATCAACCTGAGGATTAAGCTGCATTTCAACCACAGGAACTTTTCCACCACAGCCCAAAACAAAGCGCCTGCTTCCATCTGTCTTGTTGCCACAGAGAGCAGCTTGTAAAATCTGTGTAATGAAGGAAAAAACCTGCAGTCAGCCAGCTGCAGGTTTCAAACATATCGACTGGTCCCAAAAATAAAGCCAGAAATTCAGACAAATGTCAGACAAAAAGGAGAAAGCCCCCACGGCTGTATGTGAGGTAATTTGTAACATGGTTGAGATGGGGATTCTAGAACCTGTGGACAGGACCAAATGCATAAAACCTGACAACCTTAAAATGATTCCTTATCTGCTGTGCAGCGATGTGGAAATGTTTGAGGTACTTCAGATCCTTTGGGAGTTGTTTCAGAGCAAGAGAACCATCCCTAAAAAAACGAACATGCATGAAGAGCTATTATTTTGTTACAAGAAAACAAGATTTCAAAGAGGCTCCTCAGCCAAGGCCAATGCTGCATTCCTCTTATGTAATTATCTCTTTGGGGGAAGAACAAAACATCTCACATCTGGTGGTCAGACTCCGAAAAAACTAAGAGACGCTCGATCTGCAGGACGACAGGAAGCTCCAGAAAGAGTAAAGAGTGACCTGCTGTGTGCCTGAGTCGGACCGCTACAGCGATGAGGCGTGAGGCTCAGGGAATTGAAACAAAATCTTACAGCCCTGGAAAACGAGTGTGTATGGCAGCTTCTTTATTACGCTGCTCCCAGGAGAACATGTAAACCAAACAAACCGAAGAGCAAACGCAGAGCCTGCTGTCTGCGCCTCGGCTCCAGCAGACAGCTGGAGCTTTGTCGTCTTTCGGGTTATCGCAGCGCCTTATGAGCGACTTCCTTTTCATGACTTGCTGGTTTTGATGTCATATCAAAGCAGTGCTAATCCCCTCTAAAGAAAACACTATTTCATTAACATCGAGCTGTCGACTCGGTTTCTTTCCCAGTTTGAGTTCTCCATGTGGGTTTTGTTTACTGTATTATCTGCAGTTGTTTTAGTTTATCATTTACTTTTTGTTACTTATGGACTGTTTGGGCTTTTTTGTGTTTTTTTTTTCTGTCTGTGCTTTTCTTGGGCATCTGTTTCTAGTTCCTTTACTCTTCCCATAGTTCCTCTGTCACTTTATGTTCGGTTTTGGGCTATATTGTGGTTTATATTATTTACTTCCTGTATCTCTGCCACCTTCATACTCCTGTATTCTGCTGGTCCTGTCTCCAGCTGCCTATCATTCAGTAATAACCAGCCCTAATTAGCCTCCTCTGGATCATTCTCTCTTTGCAGGTTCTTGGCAGATGTAGTTGCCTCCCTTCAGACGTCTTTCAGATTTTCTTCGGTCTTAGTATATCTGTTAAGGTTTTAGGATTTTGCTTCTGTCCTTCCACTTCAGTTTAACATTTTGCCCCCAGCATTGGTGTGACATCTCCTTTACAAATGACCCTTAGTTCATTTCAATTTCCCTGTCCCTCTCGTCTTCCTGGCCTGCACTTGGATCCGATCACCTTTCTCGAGACCCACCGTGACACAAACTGAGAGACCTGACTCTCAGATCTTGAGGGAGCTGTACTTTCTCCTGACAGGATGCTCTTCTCTTTTGTGAGGATTTACCACCCAAAAAGGTGGTTCAAGGTGGCCCAGTCTTGTGGTTTAGTGGTGCTGCAGCACTTTTATTTGCAGCCTTTACAAGGGTGCTGTGCCCAACATTCATAAATCAGAACAAACTGTGTGAATTTTAAGTATGTGAAGTCAAAGCATTAAGTCCCAATTAAGGAGTGGATATTGCGTTTGGGAGTCCCAATTTGTCTCATGAGCCGAAAATTATTCATTTGTAGCAGACAAATGAAAACACAAAAGGCTTTCATAATTACAGCCGGGATCAAGTATCAGAGTGCATGTGTATCTGTGTGTGTGTGTCTATGTGTTGGGGGGGAGCTTTGTTCTGAACCACTGATAATTCATTTAGCCAACAAGAAAAGGTACACAAATTACATCAGACGAAATCATTTCAAACAAATAGAGACTGTAAACGGCAGAGAGGAGATTAACAACGAGCACAACGAGATGAAAACTAATAAAAAGAGGAAAACTTAACATCACGTGTGGAGTCAGTCTTAATCACAGCTATCTGAGTGGTGGGCTGTTGAGTTTTCATCTGCCCACGACCACAGCAGAGTCCCCCCACACAGCGATCGAGAGTAATACACCCGAAAGCCAAACCATCTGGATACTGTTGCTGTGGAAACAGCGAGGTAGCCGTGGGATACAGCCTGAGACTGGTTTGTTTCCGTCTGTATTTGCATTTGGGTAAATTAGAAGTCTAAAAACAAACGGAGTTGGCTCGCAGGAGTTTGTATTTTGCAGTGTTTAAATCGAAGGGATCGTACACTGAGGAATGGCTCTGATTTGCGTGTGTTCATTCGGCTTTAATAGGCTGCATGTCACAATCTGCTGCGTGTGTTGCTGATGGAGCTGAAACACAATAACTCGTTTCCCGTTGTGTGACCCGCTGCAGGACTCCGGGGATGCACAAACTGCACTTTAAAAACTCTCAGCTCTGAACTCTGAGGCAGGGCTGAAGAATGAGATGTAATCAGAAAAAAATATAGGAGCTGAAAAAGTTCAGATATAAGAGAACTTGTTTGTTTCAAGTCTACAATGTTTCTTCTTTATATGTACTCCACATGTAATACTTGTATACATTCTCTTGTGACTGTTGGGCAATTATCCAGAGAGACCAACACAGCCACGGTGTGTTTGAATCCTTGTAAAACTGCACTAACACTCTCTCACAAACAACAGAAAGGCTCCTGGAGGAGCAGAGGAGGACATGCTGCAGCTCGCAGCATAATGCAATCATCTGCAACACTGAGGAAATGGAAAATCTCCTCCAAAATGGGAATTTCTGTTAATCTTACGGAGTAATTACGGTTTAGTCTGTGTGTCTGAACAAGCGAGTCCTCAAGAGAGCAGAGGCACAGCTCAGGGTGACACAGAGCTGAGGGCGCTGTTTTGCTGAATATTTTTGTTTTTATTCCTGCGTTACTCTGTTTCATGTTATTTGTAGTTAAATGCACAAACGTGCTGTCTTAGTAACCCTGAGACATCCCATAATTCTGCTGCTATAGGCCGGGACTGCTGGGGGAGCTCCCATCATGCACCTGTCCTCCCTCATGTTTGCGTTGATTTGGGAGTATAAAAACAAAACTGAACTGAAGTTTTTCTAAAGATGATTAATGATAATTTATAATATCTTTTTTGCACGTATCATTTTGCACCTATCCTTCCAGTGATACTAAACATATAATAACCACCTAATATACAAACTCATGTTTCAAAACATTTAAGGAAGACAAACCCTTGTAAAGGTATGCTTATTACAAATACCCAAATTTCGCATTTCAGTGTCATGATAATCATATTATAGAGCTGAACGCTATTGTTTATCATCATCTCATCTGTGTCTTCCCTAAAATGATCATCCTGGTCTCATTAGTGACAGTAATCAGATGCTCCGGGGCGACAGATGAGGTGGAACGGCGTGGCGCTGAAATGAAACTGTGAGAGATGAGGGCTGCGCTGAGGGGATAAGCGGCCGAAAACACGCTTACTTCAACACAAACAGTCATTATCACTGATGTATGAAATTACAGCTTTCTCTCTACCCTGGTGTGCGTGTGAGAGCGAGTATGATATTAATACACGTCAGGCCAGACACATCTGAGGCCTGAAAGTCTTTTCTTCCTCTTCAAACAAACACAAACAAACAGGGACAGCCTGCTCATTAATCCGAGTTGGTTTCTTCATGAAGTGAATGATTAAAGTGAGTGGGCTCAGATGTGTGTCCGTGTTCCTGATGACTCACTGACAGCTTCCCTCCGTTGGCTTTCCATGTTACACTGATCGTTTTTTGGAGGATTTCATGCAATTTTAGTATACAGAAATACAAAAAAATAATACACTAATAATAA